TATCAACAAAAGCAAATAGTAGGTATATGAAAAAATATATTGAATATATCTGAGGTTCTTTTTAGTTTTTTTACGTAAAACTGTACAAGTATACATATTCATAAGTCAAATTTTTACGCATCTTCGTAATTAGTTCTTTTAGTGACAATCCTTTAGAATCAATGACGTGGCTATAATAGGACAACACATTCAATACCGCGTGTCATCGAATCCAGATACATTATTGAGATACGATGCGTTCACGTATCGTATCGTCGTATCGACCACAAAAGTATTCAATAGCGAGCCGTGTTACATCGCAAACATCGCCGTATTTCTCGTTGACACGTAACCTGAACGACGTCCTATATAGAACGTATCACCGATCCCGTAACGACCGACGGTATTTGATAAGAGACAGAATGGCCCCGATGGTCGGATGAGCTTGAATTTAATGGATAGAGAACAGATTCTGCAGATACATCAGAGGACCGGTGCGGTATCTCGCGCAAACATCAGGAGGGAAGCACGTTGTCCTCTCTCTGTCCCTCTTTGACGCCCTTCGAACTCCGCAACCCCCTTAGTCGTCCATCTCCAATATGCCTCCCACTCTTTCACTTCGCAACTGCTATCATTCTTGGCTGCACTTTCAATCTCTGTTTCGTTCTAAATCAAGCCATCTCCCTTTTCCTCTTTTTCTCCCTATTCTACTCCCAGCCCTACGGATCACATCATCTCTAATGGTAGACGTGGTTCTCTTTGTCCCTACTTTTCTAACACCTTCCGTCGATCGGGCTACTCGCTTCCGATATCGTTAATCCTCTCCCGCGATTGTAGACGATAGGATATCGAGGTAGACGATGTGCTCAAGAGGCGGTTCTCTCACTCATTGCAGCTAGATTAGGGATCGCCCGGATGATGTGTCCGAGAGATTAGCATGTATACACCCTCGTTACGTATATTACGCAAAGGGTTAACCCTTCTTTCCGCGTAACCGATACACGATTTTATTAAACTTGCGATACTTCCGCTTCTTATTCATATCAGATACATAGATATCGTGGCCTTAATTTTACGAATTTGATTTGATATTGAATGTAAATGCAACAAGGTTTTAATTTAATTTAATAGCCGAAAAATTGGAAATTAATTAGAGTAAAAAATTTCATTAAGTTGGTGTTACATAAATGTTTCGAAATATACTTCAATATACTTTAATATCTACTGTGTTCAATGTAATATTTTAAAATTCGTAAAAAATAGTATTGACGGATGTTTGCAAAATCAATATATTATTTAATAATTTTTAGGTATATTATATATGTATATACATTATAATACGCAAAAGAAATAATAGTCTTAATATTGATCCATAAATTTCATTTATTTACTCTCTCGTTGCTATTTTCATTTAAAAATAAATTTCAAAAACGTTGTTAAAATTAATCGCTTTTTGGCATAAAATAATTTTAATTTTTATTGTTATAATATTCTTCACTTTTCAATTCAATTATATGCTAAGCGTATGTTAATTAGCAATAAAATTGATCAACTCTAGGAAAGATTTGAGAAGAGCTGAAAGGAACAAACAGTACTTCATTGGTATCGATGAATTTATTGCATCGGATTGACTCATATTTACAACAAGGACACATACATATATATGCATTTTCATCTACTTTACCAATTATCTACATACATAACTTTTCACTTTTAGTTACGCTTGATTAATTTCACCGCAATTACTTGCCGCTTATCTAGCTCACGATACATGTACAGACAAGAGTCCGTTATGACTCGCTTTTTAAAAATAAATTTTTAACATATGACAAAGCAAATTATATCCTGTTATAATAATCAATGTTGATTTGTAACGTGGCGTTCCAAAGTTTATTTTATGCATAATTATAAAAATAGTCTCAGGCGGCTTTTTCACATTTGCGAGATGTAAATAAAAATGCATAAATAGTTATACAAGTTATAATAATAATAATAATCTTTATAAACATTCTTGATTCTATTGCAAAGCTTTTAAATGATCACAGTTGCATTAGCCACAGTGATCATGATTTAGCTATAATAATTACAATAGTAATAATAATGACCAACATTTCATTTGCTATCTATGATTCACTTAAACCTACTATCACACCGATTTATACATTTGCCTAAAAGTAGATAGATATGCAGTCAACGTATAAGGTTGCTCCGTACGCTCCGCTGCGCCGTAGCCATAGCTCTTTATTCGTAAATTACATGATACAAAAAATCTCTTTTGAAATATTTTTCCTTCCTATTCGATTATGCATCAATTCCAACTCAAGGAATATTTATTTGTGTAACAAGTGCGGGAAGTTGAGAATTGGACACGGGTGCGGAGTGGAGGCACGAGCCGAAGGCGAGATGATGTTACATTACCGCACTGTTTCGACTCATGTATGGAATTGGCTATTTGTCGCACAGATGGCGCGCGCGTAATAGGCCACTTTCCACGCACGTGTGATATAATAATTATTTGTGCAACAAGTGCTGGAAGATGAAAATTCACGGGTGCGGAGTTGACGCACGAGCCGAAGGCGAGTGCGGTCACCGCACCCGGGAATTTTCAACTTCACGCACGTGTTGCATACCCTATTTTATGTTGCAAGTGCGTGGAAAGTTGCCTATCACGCACGCGTCGTGATAGGCGTGATGGGCCACTTTTCATGCACGTGTGACATAAAATTCTTAATATACAGGGTGTATTATTTTAAGTGATTCAGCTGAATATCTCTTAAAGTAAAAGAGATTGGAAAAATTGTTTCAGACAAAAGTTGTTTGGTTCGAAGGGGGACATAAGATGGTGTCATTGGTTTGACCTTGGGTGGCATCGTTAAGGACAGGTCAAGGACACCTTCAGTTTCTTAAATAGAACCCCCTATTTTTTATTGCATATTCTTATAGCTTATGTCGAGAGCTTTCCAAAACACTATAATTAAGTATTTTTTCATTACTTTTTGAGTTATAAGGCTTGAAAGTTACAGTATTGTGACATAATATTTTATTAAGTATTTATAATTCAAATTCTTTATTTTTTATTTTTGCAAACAATATGAATCAATTAATGTAAAAAAAACAAAATTTTCTTACAGAAAAACTTGTTGTGTAAGAGCGTAATGTGGCACAGTAGATAACGCACTAATCTACAAAGCTGAAGAACAATTTTAATGCCATTTATAATGAGTGTAATTCTTGTACCGTTGTTAAGAACAACGTCTAAAATACCTGGAATAAACTATTGCGCGCTGTGTAATTTCTGTAGGCATTCATATTCATGCATTAAGTTTCATTCTTACAGAATGTCTATTCACCAAGTACATATTGAATTACTTTCGACAAAGACTTAAATTTAGCGTATACCATGAAAGAAGAGTACCGATTTTTTATTGCGTGATTGATAGTTATTGAAAAAGCACCCCGAATCGTGAGAGGCAAGGGGATTCACGCAAATCAAGCACCCCGAATTGTGAGAAGCTAAGAAAATAATGAATATGCAATAAACAATTACACAACAAGTTTTTCTTTAAGAAAATTGTATTTTTTTACATTAATTGATTCGTATTGTTTGCAAAAATAAAAAGTAAGGAATTTGAATTATAAATACTTAACAAAATATTATGTTACAGTACTGTAACTTTCAAGCCTTATAACTCGAAAAGTACTTAATGAAAAAATACTTAATTATAGTGTTTTGGAAAGCTCTCGACATAAGCTATAACAATATGCAATAAAAAATAGAGAATTCCATTTAAGAAACTAAATGTGTCCTTGACCTGTCCTTAACGATGCCACCCAAGGTCAAATCAATGACACCATCTTATGTCCCTCTTCGAACCAAACAACTTTTGTCTGAAACAATTTTTCCAATCTCTTTTACTTTAAGAAATATTCAGCTGAATCACTTAAAATGATACACCCTGTATACAATTGACAAAATAAAAATAATAATTACGAGAATATGCGATTTGTGGCAATAGTTTAAAATAAGATAAATAAATATATGTAAGTTCTGATATGTTGTTAGCATTACTAAAGATATTGTATTATGTTAAACTACATTTCCATTGACAATTGCATAAATGCCAAAAGAAAGGAATATAATTAAAAAAATAATAGAATATATAAAGGTGGTAGTTATAAAACATTTTTCCAACATTATTTTGAATATCATTAAATAAAAAAGATTATCGAATTAAATCACTTTGCAACCTAATATAAATATTAGATTTTTAACATTCTCTCCTTACAAATGCACACATTTATTCTAAATTATTTTTGCAACAGAGAAATTAATGCATAATAGAACTCGAAGGTAAAAATTCCGTGAAATCTGGACGAATTTTTGATAAGCCTTTTGGACGACTTCATCGTATTTCCCATGGCTCTCTATCAGTCTCTATGTCGAGACGACCCTAATTACAGATTACTTTGCTAATAACTCTCGTTCCCGTCCACCGTTAACGCGTAACGTATTTGCTTTGCACATACAAATATTTACAAATATTTACATTAGCCCACAGGAATCCATTGATGTAACCATCAACGTTCATAATCGATCATTAAAAACCCTTCTCAATTCTCGTGAAGAGCCTAATAGGGCATATGTGTCCTATTGATTTATTTTCGTGATATGGTTGATTTCGTACACGCTGCGAATTATTTGTAATATTTAGTACATTTTGCGAATATTCCACAGAATTACATGTTGATCATAAGTATCGTCCAGAATGTTACAACACATGCAATCCCAGTCGGAAGTTTAACAATTATTTTTCTATTTACAGCATACTATGAACTGATAAAATGTAATGTTAATGTAAATTTAATCAAGCATTTTTTAACAGTGAGATAATACAAAAATATAAAAAATCAATTTTGTTTTTTATACGAGATATTTTATATAAATTTATAAGAATAACTTTTAATCAACTTTGTCGATTACGATTATAAAAATAGAAAATTAGAAATGCTTTTTTCTCGACATATATAAAAATAAGAAAGTAGAATAAATAAAAATGAATGTATTCGAGTCGTTTGTTAATTTTGTTTTAATCCAATTTTAATCGTCATAAGAATGAGCAACCAGCTATCGGAGTTTATCGAACAAACCGTTGATATTGTTTTTTTTTGTATTAAAACGTCTGTCATTTAAAAATCTTATCTGCGGATTACTTTTTTAAAGTTCTATACATTTTCAACAAGATACATCGGAAACGTATATTTCGGCTCATTTTTGTAACAAAGTTGAAAAATGTTTTCTCCACATAAGAAATCAAACTAATCTTTGGATGCCTTCTTAACTCATTTAGAAGTTTGCGTCAACTGAGCCATATCAGTCGAGTAGCCAGGTGAGCCAAGAATGAGCGGATATTGAGTCTTCCTGGGATAGTGCATATTCTCGCTTTGTCACAACATCTTACTCAAAGAATGATAACTGGTGGATCCAGGTGGAGGAAGTATAAATGGACTGACGATAGAGTGTTCCGGGCCATGGTACACTGACGAGTAGCCCGACTGTTGATTGTGACTCTGGCCCGAGGCATCTAATCCATTGAGCACCGGCGAACCTGTGTCGTGTAATTTCCGCATATGCTTCTTGAGGTCAAAGTTTCTGCAAAAGCCCTTGCCACAGATCTTGCAGGAGAACGGCTTCTTGTCATTATGCGTATGCATATGGAAGGTCAGATTGTAGATCTGATGAAACGCCTTGTTGCAGATGTTGCACTTGTACGCTTTCTCGCCGCTGTGCGTGAGCTTGTGATTCTTGTAGTTACCCTTCTGGTGAAAGCCCTTACCGCAGAACTCGCAGACAAACGGTTTGAAATTGGCATGTATGCGTGTGTGGGTGTTGAGGGTGGAACTACGATTGAAGGCCTTGCCGCACGTCACGCACTTGTGCGGCTTTTCAGCGGTGTGGATGATCTTGTGTCGGCAAAGAGTGCTCGCCTGACGGAAACCCTTACCGCAAATCTTACAGACAAACGGCCGGGCGCCCGTGTGCACCGGCATGTGTCTCGTCAGATTGTAATGCGCATTGAACACCTTGCCGCATTCCGGGCAAGTGAAGGTCTTTTGCTTGTTTGCGGTACCGAGCTCGCTGCGCGGCGCCGGGCTCTTCTTGCCGCGCTGGTTTTCTGGCGACATGCTAGTCAGATTCAGTCTCGAGGAGACCTCCTGGATGGTCGTGGGAGGTGGCGAACTCTGCGTGACCGATGGAGTCGAGGCGGGAGGGCCTGGGAAAGCCCTCAGTAAGGGATTAGGATAATACAACGGATAGTACTTGGACAATACGGGATAATGTTGGAGGAGATCTTGATGCCTCAAGGTCGGTACATACTTCTCGAACGCCGATTTCAAATGCGCTGAGTACGATGGGGAGGAGATGTTCGGCGGTTGTTGAAGAATCGTCGTCGTCGTCGTCGTCGTGGCTGGTACTGCTGCTGGCGGTGCTGGAGGCAGCAGATTAGCGTTCTGCTCGGTCAGTCGTTTGTCTGGTTCCATAATCTTCGCGATGGAAAAGGTAAGATTTCGGCAAGGCGTCGGGGAGGTTACCCTCTCGGGTGGCAGGCTTGTTGGTGTCTCGGTCGCCATCGCGCTACCGGTTGCAAATGGTTGCATGGTGTAAACCTGTAATGAAAATATTGATCGTTTTAGTAATGTCAAATAATTGTTTTTCGTAATGTCGGGATTTTCATGATCAAAAATGCGAATCGCGTAGATTACCGTAGATGGATTTAGGAGAATACTCCCAAATATTTTTACAAGGCTATTGAAAAATATATTATAACATATTTATATTTAAATATATTTTAAATATTAAGATAAATTAGGATAAATGCATACATAAATTTTATTTTTTTAATGTAATTTTAAATTTATATATTATATAAAGAATATAAAATTATATTAAAAAATAGATTTGTTGTTTTATTACTTGAAAATGCTCAACAATAATTTGAAATAAAGATATTAATGCCTTTATTGACAACACATTTAGTGTGCCCTAACGGGGCTTTGTTAATCGTTAGAAAAAGAGTATCCGAATCATGGAAATCAATTTGATGACTTCGAGGATCGTCATTAAGCATCTAGTAACTCTCCTTTTACAGTCACCATATTATTGTTTTAGCACACGAATAAAACCCATCACATGTTGATAAATCTGAATAATTGGATATAAGAGTAGCTATGGTATTTATAAAGAAAAAAGAACGCTGCTATTTTAACAAAGAAATATTATCATTTTCTCTGTATTTTTAAAAATATTTCTAATATTTTATCGTTGTATGCTTGCTGTTCATAAGCACTATATATCTTCTTAATAAATCTAATCAATTCAAAAAGTAATAAATTTATCACTTTTGTAATGTTTTGAAAAAATAATTTTATAGACTAGCTATTTTATGTTCTATCATTGTTCTATTTTCTACATTATTTTCAAGTTTCTTTTATGACATAAGGCTGTAAATACAAATGTATTTATTCTCATTTTGGCAAACTTATTTGTATGATCAATTTTGTATGATTAATTGTAACATAGTTAATTATGATCAGTGCATTTTCAAATACCGGTTAAAAAATAAAACTATTTTAATAAAAATTATATTCTTACAATATTTTTAAAAATATTTTTAGAATATTTTTAAAATACTTTACACACATTTTAAATATAGATTTATGTGTATGATAATTGTAGATTTAACGATTAGACATATGTAACGCGGAAGGGGGAAATGAATGGCAGAACTGAATGAGATGCGAAATGGTCAGCACAGTAGAAGTGCAAGCTTCCCCGGAGGTATTGCGGAAGGTTTGCACGTTGAAAAGTAGAAATGTTTGCTCCGTGGAATGGCGTTATGTTTGGACTTGGAATGACGGCTGGAATTGGATGGGACCTCGTTGGCGATTTCATAAAATACTCGCGACTGGATCGCGCGGCAGTCACCGGATCTTGATTCAAGATTTACGATAGGACCAGTCTAGCTGAAACAAGTTTGCACAGTCTGAGACGCATCCATCATTACGCAAACTTTAATATTTTGTTTTTATTAAAAAAAATTACATATATTTGTACAGACATCTTTTTTCTTAAAATAAATAATAGATGTTAATCGGAAATTTTTTTGAGGTATTATTTCAATATTAAATAATTATAATTATTAAATCTATAATTATAAAATATTGAGAGAATTTTGATATTAATCTGTAATTATTTATTTTATCTTTTATTTTTATTTTTTTTCTTGTTTTACGTAACTAAATAAAAATTTATTTATATTTTTATAAAGTTTTTTTCAAAGCTTTTGATTAAATAGTTATTAAATATTTATTTATAATAAAATGTTTTCAACTATTTTCTTAAAATTCTTATATTTCTTGTTTAAATTTATATGCCAAAAAGTTAGCATACTTATAATATATAGCAAGAGCAGACAAATATAGCATTGTATTTGTCTGCATGCTTACGTAATTCTATGATTATCTCTTTATATTGAAATGTAATAATTTTTTGTTATCCATTTCTGTAGATTGAATGACTTTATCAAGAACGAATTAATTTAAATTTTGTCTTTTTCCTAGCATATGCAATTTCTTTAATTTCTATCAAATATTTTATTAAATATTAAGCGATAATTGGTAACTTAAAATTTTTGTGATAAATGTATCGTATCTAACCGGAAGATTATTCATGCATATAAAAAAAAATTTATTTGCAATCAAAGCATCATTTTCATCCAATAAAGGAATTGACAAAGAAAAAGCTGCCAAAGAGTGTACAATTTAAAAACAAAAAAAATGCTAAATTATATTGGTTTAATACTAATTAATAGAATTAAAACTATTATTTTTTTAACTGTGTCAGAATAATTATATTACATTCTATTTTTTTATTATGAGAGATGCTAATAGGACCATGACACAAAACAAGAAGTACATGCTATCTCACATAAAAAATCTTGAAAAGGAGTCATAGCCTCGTACAGAAAAATAATTCTAGACTTACTTAAACTAGAATCACACTATCAATAGATCCGACTAAAAGATGTCCAGTACCTACAAGAAATCCAGGCATGATAAAATTATGAGTTACTAAAAAACGTTTCTTCACGCGACTTGATTTTTTTCGCTGATTTTACAGCTTTTCATACAAGAAAATACAGATACACGTCGCTGCGTCACAAATAAGTAATCACCGAACCCTGCTGTAGCCACGAAAGATCATACGATCATCAATCAATAAAATCAATCGAAAGATCATACAGATCATAAGAATAAAAGATTATTCGCGAAAATTATTCGTATTCATTTCTTTATTGTTTATTTATTAAACATCTCGCGATGATATTATAGAAACGGGATCTACAAGCGAACGAAGCGAGAACGGATATGAGCCCCAAATTATCCATCTAATTATCGCTTTATCGATTAATTAGTGATACAAATTTTTTTTTGCCAATTCTAATGCAGTATATCTAATTTATATAACAGAAATGCAACTTTTAAAACTCTATATTAATAACTAAAATTGTAAAGGCTTAAACTTATTAAGCCTTTCTTAAGCAAAAAGTACTTACAATAAAAAAATTCTTTAGAATATATTAAAAACATTCAACAAAGAGCATTTAAATTACAACTTGTTATAAAATTAACAATTTATCCAAATTATTTATAAATTTCTTTATATATCCTACAGAATTAATGCCATAATTTTTTCTTTATTTTTTAAGCCCTGCTAGAAGTTTCTTAAATAAGCTCAAGTTTCTTAAATAGCTTAAGTTTCTTAAATAAGCTCAAAAGAGCAAGGATGAAAAAGAAAAGATTCTTGTTAAAAATTCTCCTACTGAATGTGGAACACAATACAATAGAGGTTTTCGCAAGCTCCGCCTATCGTCAGGCGCACCTCTAGATTGCCCCTCGGTCGAAGGCAGCCCTAATAATCGAGACAGCCTGGTAGGAAAAGCTATGCCCGGTGTGAGAAGCGAGATTCTACCAGGGAAAATGGCCTTGTCACGCGACTCGCCTCAAAACCCGCCTCTGTGGCCTATAGAAAAGCGTCAACGTAGACAGCGTGGCGCGTTGCAACGCCATGGAAGGGCGCAACTGTCGACTAAAGTGCACTACCGACAAAAGAACGCGATTACGTACGAAGGTTTTCTCGCTAAGCCCTTCCAAGGCAGGCTCGAAGGCTCGAAGCAGCCGTCGTTTCTCGCGCCACTTTACATCGTCCTGTGTCGCATCTTTCCTTCGTTCCACTTTTTCTTTCGTATACTTATTGCTGCGTTTTTGTTTCAAACTTTTATTAAACTATGACATTAATGTTGCAAATTACATTGGTTGCGTGCACCATAGCGCAACAGTTTTCAACCGTTTTATGATTTTCTGTTGATTTTCCACATTTTCTCTGTTGAACGATTCTAAACGCATTCAAAGTCTCAAAACGTTTACTCAGCGGTCGCCATGATTTTCAGCGAACTAAAAGTGTATTAATATCGCTGAGAATAATAAATATAAATATAAATATAAAAATGTTATTTATAACGCAATAGATACAGTGAAAACGCACAGAAAGTGACAAAATGGTATGTATATATAAATATTAATATAAGAAAATAAAGAAATATGTTATAATTATAATTTAGATAAACTCGGGTTAGCACACATACCTATAACATAGAATAATAGGTTAAATCGTTAAATGTATACAAAATATGTAATACTTTGATGCATTATACTTATTAATTAAATGTAATGTACTAACTCAAATTACAATATTACTATTATAATAAAATGTACATACCTTCTAATGATGTTTGTGGCACATCTTGTAATATATCATGCATTCCTACTATCTCTTTGTAATTTTCTTCAAAATAATTATTGAAAAAGTTTACATAAGTACATAAGTACCTACATGACATTTAATTAATAAGTATAATATATGCATCAAAGTATTACACATTTTATATACATTTAGAAGGTCTATACACGTACGAGTTTAGCTCGCAAGTCCGGCTCGGCAAGCTTAATTCGCGAGCCGGGCTCGAACGTTTTTTCACCACACACGAAAAGAAAATGTGTGAATTTGGCTCATTTGACGCCGAACCCGGCTCGTAACATCCCATCCACGAATGAGTAGAAGCCAAGCTGAGCCGGACTTGAGAGCTAAACTCGTACGTGTATAGACTCCTTTAATCTATCATTCTATGTTATATGCGTGCTAACCCGAATTTATCTAAATTATAATTATATATCTTTTTATCTTCTTATATTAATATTTGTACATACCGTGTAGTCCATACATTTATACATCGCGTAGTCCATACTAAGTATATGTCGATGACGTTTTGCTTGACAGCTAGCTTGACGTTTTACGTACTTTTATTTCGCTGAAAATTATGGCGACCGCTGTGAACGTGTTGAGACTAAAGTGCGATCCACTTAGCGCTCCAGACGCTCTTGGAAACATTTCATCCTTGTTGTTTATCAAATGTTAAACAAGGACAAAATGATGCTCTGAAGCGTTTGAAGCGTCTAATGGATCGCACCCTTTAAGGTGGAAGCACATAAAATTGCAGGAGCCTTGAGCAAAATGCAGAAGCCATATGCGCATGCGCTATGGTATTTGT